AGATGGGTTTTGTCCATTTGGACCTAGTGCAAAACCATACTCATGTTGGCCAGTTATTATTACAGTGTATAACTTACCACCATGGATGTGCATGAAGTAGCCATATTTATTTTTGAATATGATCATTCCAGGCCCCAATAGTCCTGGAAAGCATATTGATATATTTTTAAGACCTTTAGTGGATGAGTTGATAGATTTATGGACTATGGGGGTAGAAACTTTTGATGCACATAGGAAATATAATTTTCAAATGCGTGCTGCTTTATTTTGGACAATTAATGACTTTCCAGCTTATGACATGCTATTTGGATGGGGTACCCATGGACGATTGTCTTGCCCATATTGTATGGAGAAAATCAACGCTTTCCACTTGAAGCATGGCGAAATCAAATTTTAATGATCCTTGGCCAACTTGGGCTCAATTTTTTTGATGATACAAAAGCTGCTTTATGGGCAAAATTTCAGGTAATAGTGTTAATTTATTTAACAAACATTTGATGCATTTCATTACATTTTCAACAACAATATTCTCTTTTTATTTAGCATTTAGCATAAGATATATAATCGTATTTTTTTAAATGTTAGGAAAAATATAAAGGGATGAGCTTTGTACGCCAGAAGAGGTAATTCCGTGTCGTCAGTTTGATCGACACGAAATGATGAGCGGATGTGAGATGGTTTGGGGTGGTTGCCGGAGTAGGCACGGTGGCAGTACTCACGGTGTGCTCAGAAGAATGAGTGCCCATCGAGAGAGAAGGAGAGAAATTAGGGGAAATCCTATCACAATATGATACCAAATGTGAGTTTGTTATTGATTAAATGTACAGTCCCAGGTTTACAGTAATACATCAACGTTAACATCGTATACAATAAGCTACTAGAAAGGTAAGACTAACTGTATCCACATACACTCCTAATATATCTAACATGCCAAAGCTAATAAGGGGTTTAGGGATGCTATTAGTAGATGAAGAAAAAATGCATGCACTAATGCTGGCATTAACCCCTATGATCCAAATGCTAACTGGGAAAAAGTAAAAGAACATAGAGAAAGTTGGATACCGCAACCAGTTTGGAATTTTATTTTTGGACAATATTTGGTCCAAACAGGAATGGATGAAGAAATCTGCTAAGGCTACAAAAAATCGCAACACACTAAAGGAAGGAAGTGTCACCAAACATGCTGCTGGTTCATGTTCTTTTGTTAAACATAAGCATAAGATGGTATGGTGTTTTTTCACTATTTTAATTAATTTTTTTTATCCTAATAATAAATTGTTTCAATAATTGCTAGGCTAAATCACTAGGACGAGAACTATCCCAACTAGAAATCTTCAATGCAACTCATACTCGTAAGAAAAATGGTGGCCAATTTGTGGATGGAAAATCAAAATCTATCAGTGTAAGTATTAGAAGTATTATTCTTCTTTTAGTTACTTAAGGTTTTTTTTTTTTTTTCTTAGTTATATGAGGCTTATATTAGTTTCTAATTTTATAAATAAAAAATATGGTTTGGTGTAGGAGAAATATGACACAGCTTTGAAAGAGAAACATGGTTGTGATTCTTCTTCTCAAGTGATATTTGATGTTGCTGCATGGAAATATGCAATTGGTGATATCAATCGCTCCCATTTGTATGATTTTGGAGCTCGTGAGAACCGAAAGTCTATTCTATGTGAAAGTTCAACCCAAAGATCCACAACTACTAATGTACTTAATGTAGCAAATGAGGCATTACAAGAGCTTTTCAAGAAATGGTTGTCAGAACAACTCCTTGGTATGTTATCTTCTTTAGGCTATCATCCTATGGATAGTGCATTTTGAAACAATGTTCTACCATCATCAAGTAGTGATAATCCAAACACTTCACAAAATGATTGTCAAGAAACCGAAAGTAATACGGGTGGTGATAGACATGATGATAGGGATGGTGATGGACATGATGAGTTGGAAGCACCATATATGATAATTTAGTATGTTGCTAATCTGCTGCAGCACATAGTATTTTGTGATTATGCATGTACAAAGCTAACATCAACTACTTTTTTTTGTTACAACTTTGACAAGCTAAACTATCCCAACATACTTTTTGGATTAGCTTGTCCATTGGGATTTATGTTTTGTATATTAGTATGATGTTAGCTAACAACTCTTAACTCCAATTTAGAGGAGGATATCACTAGGGGTGTTCAATCGGTTAACCGTTCGGTTAACCGAACCGAATTAACCGAAAGTTTTTTTCCTTTAAGCTTTAACCAAACCGAAGTTTGCTCTACCGAATTCACCGAACCGAAATTTTTTTCGGTTAATCGGTCGGTTAATCGATTAACCGAACTTTTAAAGCTAAAATTTAAAATTCTAAAAATAACACCTAAAATAATAAATTCAATTAAAATAAAATAAATATCATAATAAATTCATAACAAAATATTAAAAACATGAATTATAAACTCCAAACATCCATAACTTCAAATTAATATTTATATTTATATTATTATTTATATATATATTAAAAACTTCGGTTAACCGTTCGGTTAATTTGGTTAACCGACCTTTCGAACCGAATTAACCGTTAACCGAAGTTTTAAAATTCCTTTAACCATTAACCGAACCGAAAAAGTTCGGTTCGAAAACGGTTAACCGAACTTTGTCGGTTCGGTAGGTTAACCGAAAATTATCCGAAGTTTGCACACCCCTAGATATCACTTAGCAACCCCACAATATTAGTGGTTTTTTTTGTTGTTTTTGAGCGATGAAGCCTATTTGTATTAAACTAATTATATCTATGATGAATTGAATTTACTATTTTATATTGGGTGATACTTATTTTGTATGCATAAGATTTGTGATAGGAAAATTATAAATTATACTAGTTTGAATGATGTGATTTACGACAAACATTGTGACGAACACTACGACGTAAAATACAATTATTATAATATATTATAATATTAACTACGACACAATTGACATTGACATATAATTGCGACAAACAAAATTATATTTAAAAAATTTGCGGCATATTACAACGACAAACATATAACAACAATTGCGACATACGATTTGACGAATAACATTTAAAATTAATAAAATTGTGACATACATTTCGACAAAAATTTGGAAACGACGACGAATATGAACAAGTATTTGCAACGATTGTAAAATCAATTATGACAAAAAATTGATACAAACGACAGACTAATAAGCATAATTGCGACGAATAAAAGTATTATTTGCGACACCTCGCGACAAACTAATGCGACTGATTTCGATTACAAATGACGAAAAAATTAAAATATATTGAGACAAAAATATTGTCATCGGTGATAATAATTAATTGCGACAAACAGTAGCAACTGAGCAGTTGCGATTCAACCTGATGCAACGATCACGTTTTGTCGCAAAGTATGTCGCAATTTCTCTTTTCCGTCGAAACTGTGACTAATTGCGACGGAACCCGTCCGTCATTATAGCCATGTTTTTTAGTAGTGATAGGAAGCAATAAGGATTTTCCTAGCATTTGCCGCGTACAAGGAATTCATGGTCGTCTAAATGGATGTCAAGAGCGCATTCTTAAATGGTTTGTTGGAAGAAGACGTGTATGTAGAGCAACCTCCAGGTTTTCAAACAGATTTGGGTAGGGACAATGTCTACAAGCTAAAAAAAGGCCTTGTATGGATTGAAACAAGCGCAAAAAGCTTGGTATGACACCCTCTCGTGTTTCCTAATCAATTGTGGATTCACGAAAAGACAAGTTGATAAAACCCTCTTCCGAATCAAGGATGGAGATCATATTTTATTGGTGCAAATCTACGTTGATGACATCATCTTTGGAAACACCAGTCAACCCCTTATGAGAAGTTCTGTAAGCTCATGCAGGGCAAGTTTGAGATCAGCATGATGAGAGAACTAAACTACTTCTTGGGTTTGCAAGTTAAACAAGACAATGAAGGAATCTTCATCAACCAAACCAAATACACCAAGGAACTCATCAAGAAGTTTGGAGTTGATGGAAAGTATCGGTTAAGATTCCTATGAACAGCTCATTGCGAATGAACATTGACAACGAAGGGAAAAATGTAGATCAATCCAAATACTGAGGTATAATTAGCTCTCTATTGTACTTAACAACCAGTAGACCTGACATCTCGTTTGCAGTTGGAGTTTGTGCTAGATTTCAGGCCAATCCAAAAGAGAGTTACCTCGTAGCGGCTAAGAAGATCCTAAGATATCTCAAAGGTACGCAAAGCGTTGGCCTTAGTTTTCGAGAGGTGGATCCTTCGAGCTAGTTGGCTTTTCGGATGCAGATTTTGCAGGATGCAAGATAGACCGAAAGAGCACCTCTGGGACTTGTAAATTTCTAGGAGGTAGGCTCGTTTTGTGATTCAACAAAAAATAAAATTCCATAGCTACAAGTACTGCTGAAGCGGAGTACATAGCAATCAGAAGTTGTTGTGCGCAGATTAATTGGATGATACAACAACTCAAGGATTATGGTGTTGAAGCTAAAGAAGTAAGCACAAGTGTGATAACACTAGTGCGATTGTCATCACCCATAATCTAGTGCTACACTCGAGGAATAAACATATTGACATCAAATATCACTTCATCCGAGACCATGTTGAGAAGAATGATATTGTGTTTGAATATGTTAACACAGATAATCAGCTTGCTGACATCCTGACTAAGGCTCTGAGTGATAGTCAATTTTCAGCTCTAAGACACGAGTTAGGAATGATCGAAATGAACTAAGGACAAGTTCATACGAGTCTTAAATATTCGAGAGGTAAAGTAGGACCTTCGAATAAGGTTACTCATGATTTTATAAACCTTATATTATATACTTTATATCAAAATTTTGAACTCAAAAAATCTATCTAAGACGAACATGTGATCCTTATACTATTTATTTTAAACCTAGATTTGAGCCCAAACTCAATATAACCTATTTTATCTAAAAAAATCAGATTTTTGAATTGCCTAAACCTAGCCCAACATTTGATCTAAAATCTCAGCCCAAATATTCAAGCCCAAATCTCCCTTTTGAATTTGTTGTCGCAACATCAAGCATTCCATGGAAGGGAGTGTTCACCCTAAGGGAAGCCGAAGCTATGACCAATGGCCAACAGGGAAGCATTGAGCTGGATAAAAAGACACGACTTCAATCATGTTCAAGTAGAATGTGATGCACTCCAGATTATTCAAAGTTTAAATCATGATGAGGATGCATTTCTTTTGACTTAGTGCTCCTTGATGTTAAAGATTTACTATACTCATTTATGCATGTAGCTATCTCTCATGTTAGTCGTATTGCGAATAGAGTTACCGATAACCTAGCTAGGGAAGCATGTTCTATGTCTGTGCATCAAGGGTGAATTTGTATCTCTCCATAAGTTATTGTCAACAATTTGTAGTTCAATTTGAATTTAAAAAGTTGTTAGTTTAAAAAAAAAAAAAAAAAAAAAGGGAAAATGACACTTTTTCCCCCTGTATTATATGCTTATAGCACTTTTTCCCCTTGAGTTATTCATGCACTCACATTTGCCCCCTCAATAATTATAGAAGTGACGGCCTGATAATATTAAATGGACATTTCTACCCTTAAAACAAATATTTTATTTATTTCTCTTCTTCAACAAATTATTGCTTATACGTAGGGATGACCACGGTTCGGTTCGAACTGAACCAAACGCTATAGCAATCAAATTAAAAAATTTCGATTATGATTCATAACATAACCCAATATTTGGGTTTCCGTTTATTAAAATCGTGAACTGGAAAAAAATGGATCCTGAACCGTGAACCGGAGGTTCAAATCAATCGGAACAACAACTAGCAATAGCTTAAATTAAAATTATAATATTTACAAATAGTGTATGTTTTTTTCCGCATTTATATTGACTCTCACATATAAGTATATATAATCGCGATTTGAGTTTTATTTTGAACCGTCGGTTCACGATTTTGGATCCAATTTGAATGGTTGGTTCAAACTTTCTTTTAAAATTTTATTTTATTTTTTTATTTTTAAAATATTCTAAATTCAACACTTAATATATTTTATTTTTTCAAATCATGGTTATAATTTGTTGGAGAAGAAAAATAAATGAAATATTTATTTTAAGGATAAATATGTCTATTTAATATATCAAGAGGAAAACTGCCACTTAAATCATTTAGGGGAAAAAAGTGCTATAAGTATATAACAAAGCGGGAAAAAATGTCATTTTCCCAAAAAAAAAAAACAAATCGTACATTGACGGCTAAAAGCGGATTGCACAACTGCAGAAGTTAGGCAGGATGTTGCATGCAGCACCATTCTCTTTATCTCCACCTACCAACCTGCCCTTACATTCAACACTACGTACACGCGCCGAATGGCATGTGGTCCCCAGCTTCTCCATATCCTACCATGCCATCTTCACACTTGTATAGTGTGCCCTGACACTTACCTCTACTCTACTCTCCCTCTCTCTCTCTATATATATCTTCACACTTCTCAAGACTCTGTTATTTGTGCTCCTCTTTTCTCTCTGTTGACCCTTCTGCGCCATCTTCATCATCTGTGCAAGGTCAAGGTTTGTCCTCAACCCTCTAGTCTTGACGATCTTGATAATTTATCTGCTAAATCCATGCCGATGAATGGATAATCATATGGGTTTCATAACTTGTTAATGATCATAGGTTCTTAACAAGTTTGCGCTGCTATTTCGTCGTTGACTGTCTTCTTGTACTGAGAAAAAGAAAAAAGATTATTTGAACTGAGTAGTTTGTTCTAGATTACTCTGTGCCCATGTTAATGACACTATTTCGGTACCTTGAGAGTTGAAAATTTGAAACTTTGATTCTTGACACTAATTTTCTGGGTAGATAAACTGATGGGTTTTACTTTGTCTTCTACCAATTTCTCCATACAAACGAGAAGTAGTTATGTACGATGTTGCACACGGACTTAACTCAATAGTTCATAGTTTAGTAAGCACTATTTGTCTATTTGGAAGAAGAGTCCGAGGTTCCAACTTTGAAGGAGAGTGTGGGAATTATGTCCACCTCAGACATTTGGCCCTGTTTGCTAAGTCATCATGATTTACATCCTTCCAAATGTTCTTTCAGGCCGGGGTGTGGGGCCCTTGAGGTTGGAGATTCTCCCTTTTGGGAGAAGATATAACTGATCGAGTAAAAAAATGGTGTTTCTTTAAGGCTACATGCTCTTTTAGGCTAGGGTGTGGGGCCCTTGAGGTTGGAGATTCTCCCTTTTGGGAGAAGATATAGCTGATCGAGTTAAAAAATGGTGTTTCATTAAGGCTATATGAGTATATTTGTTAATATTTAAGGGGTTCTCAAGCGGTTCATATAGATGGGAACAATAATTCTAGAATTTTATTATTGAACAATCCAATTTGCAGCTAATAGGAAGAGCCATGGATGGTTAAGTATTCTAATACCAGATGAGAACAATAATTCTAAGAAGAATTTTATTATTGAATAACTTAATTAATAAAGTACAGGAAGAGATGTATTTATAAGAATACAAAGAGTCTTAAGATGAGGATGATAAAAGGTAGATTCACAATAACACCGGGAGAGGGAGAAGAAATTCTAGTATGACTAGAATACAGAGCCCTAATAATATAGTTACACGTTATCCTGTCCAAGAAAATTATATCCCGGTAGCAAGTGGTAGTGAAATGAGAAGTGTCTCTTCTTAGAGCCAATTATCCATTCAATGTATGCCTAATGCTAAAATGCTAATCAACATCAAACGAACATTTCCAGAATTATCGAAATTAGTTGGTTTTGTTTGATCCTTCGTTTTGTTGTTTACAGGAAACTGTGGAAAATGGGAAGGAAGTATCTGTGTGCCGCTTTCCTTTTGTGGGCTGTTGTG